TCATAGTTCCATGTGTATATGGACTGAACACCGAATTAGATTAAGGAACCATAACCTGAGAGAGATCTTTGTCTTAGCGAAGGTGACCGGAAACTGACCAGGCAAAGATACTGTGTTTGTAAGGCGAGGTGAAAGTATACAGGTTAATGTACTTATAGAGTTGTCTTAACCCGAGGAAAGATATGAGGAAGAGAAGAGCAAACAGAATGAAGTAAAAAGAAAACAGATATATAATATATATATATATATATAATATATTATATATATATATATATATATATATATATATATATATATATATATATATATATATATATATATATATATATATATATATATATATATATATATATATATATATATATATATATATATATTTCCTTTAGGTGAGTGTACAATGACTTTCTACTCTCACGATCTGACATGCTGTCGAACAAAAGATATTCCATTTTGATGTTGATCTTGAAGATTATAAAAAGATGTGTTCTTTGTTCTTTATTTCAGTGTCTTGATGTTTTTGTTTGTTTTATATCAGTGTGTATACCATTGTGTCTGTCTATCTGCCAGTATGTATGTCTATCTGTCTATTTCTCTCTCTCTCTCTCTCTCTATCTCTCTCTCTCTCTCTCTCTCTCTCTCTCTCTCTCTCTCTCTCTCTCTCTCTCTCTCTCTCTCTCTCTCTCTCTCTCTCTCTCTCTCTCTCTCTCTCTCTCTCTCTTCTCTCTCTCTTTCTCTCTACACACATATATATATATATATATATATATATATATATATATATATATATATATATATATATATATATATATATATATATATATATATATATATATATATATATATATATATATATATATATATATATATATATATATATATATATATATATATATATATATATATATATATATATATATATCTTCCTCTCTATCTATCTATATATCAATTTATCTATCTCATTTCTCTGCTTCGTTTCTCCCACTTTCATCTGTCCCGAATTCTCTCGCAGCTGCAGTCAGCTGGAACATCTGCATCGCACTGACGCCCATATTGCATCGGAGCTCGTCCTCTTAGGCATACGTGGCGCCTCCCCTTGTGTTGATGTTCTTTCTGCTTCTCGTGTCGCTTTCTTTCTCTCTCTGTCTTTCTCTCTTTCTCTGATTTTGTCTCTCTGTCGCTCTATATATTTTTTTTCTCTCTCTTTCTCTTTCTATTTCTATTTCTATTTCTATTTCTATTTCTATTTTCTTCTCTTTCTCTTTTCTCTTTCTCTCTCTCTTCTCCTCTCTTCTTCTTCTTTTCNAATGTCTGTACTCCTGCCCTTCCACGAGCAGCAAAAGGCAGGAAAGCAGGCACGTGTACCACATCTCTCCGCCCGCCCTACTTTATTCCCTCGCCTTTTAAAACCTATTTTCTCTCCTGAAAAACTACCTCTCCTTATCAACACTGTCGGCACCTCCTGTCCTTATACCTTTCTCTACCTTTCGATGCTCATACGCTCTCTTCCCTCTCTAAAACCTCCCTCTGCGACATTCCATACCTTCCCTCTTTTCACCTCATACTCGGCCTCTCCCTCATACTCCCTTTCACGTCATACCTCCTCTCTCACTACATATCTCCTTCCCTCCCCCCATAAACACCATCCCTCTCCCTCATACCCTTTATTCCACCTCTCCCTCATACCTATTAATCCCCCCTTCTCTCCTCATCCAGTACCTCTTCCACTCATCTATACCTCCCTTCTCTCGGTCCTCATATATAACGATCACCTCTCCCTCATACCTCCTCCCCCTCAATAAACCATCCCTCTTCCCTCCTAGCTTCATACCTCCTCCTCCCTCATACCCCCTCTGGCCTCATTCCTCTTCCCCTGGAAAACTTCCCTCAACCTCCCTCAGCCTCCTTCTCACCTGCATACCTCCTAATTTCCCCTCATACCTTCCTTCTCCCTCATCCTCCTTCTTCTCTCCCTTCATACCTCACTCTCCCTCATACCTCCTTCTCTCGCCTCATACCTTCCTCCCGTCATACTCACTCCCCCCTCTACTCCCTGCTCACTCTACCTCCCTTCTCCCCTCCCTACCTCTTCTTCGCCATGTCCCCTCATCCATCCCTCTCGCCGCTCATACTCCCTCTCCCTCATAACCTCCTCTCCCTCTACCTCTTCTGCCTATACTCCTCTCCCCTGGTTCCATACCTCCCTCTCCGCTCATACCTCCTCTCGCCTCCTACGCTCTTCTTCTCCTCGATACTCCTTCTCCCCTCCTACGTCCTTCTCCCTCTACCTGTCCCTCCCCTCATTACCTCCCTCTCCCTTCATGAACCTCCCTTCCCTCCTTATTACTTTCCCCACAGCCCATTAACACCATCGCTAACTAGCACAGTCCGACAGGTGGCACTTCGCGAGGGGATCCACGCTAATGAATGGCACCGGGTATGTAGTGTCCGTAAAGGGTGCCACTTGAGGGGTGCCACTTGAGGGGAGAGGGCGAAAAAAAGG